AAAAGACCCGGAAAGTTATCTGATTTGTTACCAAAACCTTATCCAAACGAAGAAGCTGCTCGTTACGCAAATGGTGGTGCATACCCACCAGATTTGACTTACATTACTCAAGCTAGAATAGATGGAGAGGTACTTACTTTAAATCTAAGCAGAGCAATGAACATATTAGTTTTAATGCTTGTTTTTAAAGCTATAAAAATACGTCAACCTTGAACTTTGAAAGTTGTTTCTATAAAAAAATTTATCTTAAATAAACTTTTGACAAATTTAAAATAAACTTAAAATAATCTACAAGAATAATAGTACAACATTAGTTTTTGACAAAATTTTGTTTATTTTTTTTTAGTATCATTATTTAAATATAAATAACTTCAAAAACTAGATATTTTCATAAGATATTTATTTTAAGATAGTTTTATTTTCAAAATATTTGAAAAAAAAATCAGTGTCTTTAAATTTTCAAACAAGTAATTTTAATATTTTAATTTTTAGAATTATATCTTCGCTTTGTTGACTGGTTATATGGACCCGCCAGCAGGAATTACATTAGCAGAGAATCAACACTATAATCCTTATTTCCCTGGTGGTGCTATCGGAATGGCTCAAGCTCTATATGATGAGGTAAACACTTTTTGGATTAGTTATTTTTTATGTTTAGCTACAATAGTTATAAATTATTATTTATAAAAATGATAAATATTAATTCAAATATATTTTATTTTTTTAGATTATTGAATATGGTGATGGTACTCCAGCTACTCAGAGTCAGTGTGCAAAAGATGTTATCACATTCTTAAAATGGTGTGCAGAACCAGAACATGATACTAGAAAATTATTTGCCATGAAAGTATGTTAAAGTACTTTTATTAATTTACAATTGATAAAAATGTATGAAAATTATTAATTTTTTTAGGCATTTACTATCTTAGGCGTGCTCAACTTGGTAGTTTGGTACCTGCATAGACATTATTGGTCAGTGTTGAAGAATCGAAAGATATTACAAAGTCCATTGTTCAAAAAGTAAACAATCCTAAGCTAGTAGTAAAACTTATGATATCTTTTTTTGTTTAAACATCATATGTTGATTTTATTGTTCAAGTTCTATCTAAAAAATGTTCATTTTTTATAAGTTCACTTCTACAATAAAATTTGTGAAATTGTTTATCAAAAAACTAATTTTCTAGAGCAAATTCCTGTTTCACTGACCATACTATACAGAAGCATTAACTTTGATTACTACTAGTAATTAGTATTCCTATCACTCCATTATTTGTTCCAATAATGACTTTGTACATGATTTATTATTATATAACCTTAAGGTATACAACTGTTACAATTAAAGTTTAAAAAATAATCCAATTTTTTTGTTGAAAAATATTAAAATTATATTATACAATATATATATTTTAATAAAATACGTTTGCTGTTGACTAACTAGGTTGTCATTGAATATAATATTTCACAACTTTATATATATCATAGGTATTATATAAGTCTTGTACAGTATCATTTAGACTATTTCCATCCATGCTATTGACATTATGACAGAAATTAATAAAATTATTATCAACCTTGTTTATATATAATTGTTATTAAATTGTTTTATTTATTGAAATCATTTTTATCTAAATAATATTTACCTTTGTGCTATTTTCAATCCCGAATATGAATTATTAAGCAAGTTTTGAAAAGAAGTCTTAAATTATAGGATATCCAATCTTTTTTAAGATATTATCTCATGCTATGTATTTTGAATATCCAGTTTTAGAGAAGATTATTTCGTGGTTTAAAATTGGATATTCTCAAATAACTGTATGGTACAATACATATTATTATATTTTATGTATCAAAAAAATTTAAAAAAGTCGATTTATTATTTTATCTTGAATTTAATTTCTATAAACGCATTTTGTAAATGAAAAGTAATGAACTTAGATTAAAGAATAATAAGTTAATATATAAAATTGCTCCTTAAATTTAAAATTTTCATGTTCAGCATGTAGTTTTTATGTTAATAAAATAAACTTTAAAGCAATTTCAATTATTAAAGATTTTTTTTTTTAATTTAATACAACTCTAATCCTTAAATGTGATAGTATTTAAAGATTATTTATATTGCATTTTTGTTTAATCACAAATTTTAAGTTAACTGAAGATTTAATGAACAAATCAGAATTATTTTTAATAAATTGCTTATTGTAATTATTTAAAAATTTTTTTAAATGACAAATGTTCATTGCTATGCCAATTTTTTTTATTAATTTCTTTAATTTTTTTAATTTTTTTTGGACGTAATAAGTGTTTTTTCTTTTGAAACATTTCAAACCCTAGTGCCCTTTCAGTGTTACAGATCTTATAACCAATCAAATTTTTGAAAATCCAATACAATTTAAATGGATTTAATAAATTAGTCTTTTTCCTTTATTTTTAAAAGATAAATAGATAAATACGAGGAATAATAAAGTTCTTCACACTTTATTTTTATGAGTTGATCTAGACGACTGAGATATACACGTGTTGGTTCTGTCTTGCAAATTTACAACATAGTGAGTGATGAAGCAAATTTGCTTTTAGCAGATTAATTTTTTTATTTTTAGTTTAAAGAGGATGTCTGAATGTCAGTAAATTTATTTTTTTCTCAGATCACGTATAACTCAGGTAAAACACATAAAATTATGTTTTTTTTTATATAATTGTTGAGGGTTTGTTATACTGAGCTTATATTTTATTATCAATTTGCTTTATCTTCCACTTTAAAAAATAAAAATTAATGATTTGTAAATTAAAATAGATATTTGTTCTTAAAAAATGTAAACTAATTAATATTATGTTATATTCTCAAAAGCAGCATTATTTTTTTATTTGTGTTGTACGTGAGCCAGAAGTGTAAACAGTATGCTGACATACCATTATAAAGAACTGACCTTAAGCAAATAAAATGGTAAGAAAAGTATGAGTATTTATGTGTTGGATTTTTTTACAATATTTTAACATTTAAGTTAATTGTGACCATTTTTAAATTATGTTTGCTGGTAAAACACTTTTAATGACAATGACTACTATAGTTATGTATACCCACTTGTAATATACTATCTGATTTGTATTTATGTTCCGCTTAGTGTTATATAACTTTCAAGGTTTTCAGAGTGATTTTATTATAATATAATATAGGCTAAAAATTAGTTTAAATAATATGTTTATGAAATCATATAATTTATCAAGGGTGGGCCAATTAATTCAATTAACTAAATAAGCTAAAGTTAATTTAAATTATGTAAATATAAAATAATTTAGGTAGAGGATAATAGTTCACAAATAATAAATTTAACTTACTAGGCTTAATAAATATAGAAAAAAATTAATAACTTAATTCAGTTTAAAAAATTGAATTCATTTTTTAATGAATAAGTGAAATTACATGAAAAGTATTTTGTATCTATATATAATATTATTTTTTAATATTAAAACAAAACAAAAATAATTATAGTATTAAATTACAAATATTGATATTCTTGTCGTATTATGCTGTCTACTATATACTTGTCATCTACCACGCATGTTTCTATAGATCTACCGTATAGATAAAAAATGTTATTAATGAATACAAATATTAAATTTTAATATACAATTAAAATAATAATTTGATAATACACGTCACAATCTAATCCTTTACATGAAAAATAAAATATATAAAAATAAGCATTAATGCATTATATGTGTTACAATATATTAATATTATGTAGAAATAGCTATTTTTATTATTTAAATTATAGGTAGGTATAATTTAATATCTCTTAAAAAACAATCAAACGTGTTGTCATTAATGTTTATTTAGACACCATCATTGTTCCGTCAAATACAAGGGCAGCCATGAATTTCAACTATTTCAAATTTTAAACCTCCCAATAAACTTTTTATACGTTGTGCGAGTGCTCCACTGGTGGGATTGACAAAAATTGGGCAGATCACATACAACAAGAATATCCTTTTATTAAAGTGTTAAAATGTTTTTATTTAAAACTATAAATGTGCATACAGTAATTATAATTGACACTCTTATATAGTTACATTACTTTTTGAAATTGTTTTTCTAAAAAGCTAAACATTTCTAATGGCATAATATTTACAGCATTTTGCAGAAGTCACAACATTTATCAAAATTCTAATTTTTAACACTTATAAAAAACTATTGTGACTTTAAATTTGAGATATTTTTTGTTGGCAAATGGAGGATTAATTAATAAAAAGGTTAATGATTAACTTCATCATATTAAATTTTCAAACAATTTTAATTAACAATACATTTTTTACTATAATTAAAAAAAAAATTAAAAATTATACTATATATATATATATGAAATGCTTAGTTACAGCTTATGTATTATGTGAAAATTTTAAGTATTTTAGTTTAATTATTTACAGAAAAGAAACTAAAATTAGTTTTTTTGTTAAAATTCCAGTTTTTTTTATAATTGTTGATTGTTTTTCTCGATTATTTAAAAAAAATACTTGAAATTTTGACATGCTAAAATATAAACTAGATCCAATTTACTTTCCAAAACCACCCTCTAAGTTAAAAATCAAAACTTTTTATTGACATTTACTGAATAGTGAGTGTACCTATACATACATAAAAAAAAAAACTACATAATATATCATTTTAAATTTAATACATTTATCACGTTTTTTCAGAATATAAAATGTTCATTAGCATATCAGTTGTAATAATTGGATAATTTATTTTAGTGAATTTATTAGTATAAAAAAATCTTATAAGCCAGTAATTATAATTGCAAACTTTTTAATAAAATTGTAGTCCTGGGAGAAATTTTTTTTTAAAAGCATTTTATACTATAATTTGTAGCCTATAACTATATTGACCATTCAAACATCATGATCATATTCCTAAGTTTAAGGTTCCTTATTCACATTGACACGTCAAGCTTATCATAATTGGAAAAAAGTTGTGCTTTGTTTAAACGTGCAAAAGACAATGTTATTGAGTTACCAACCTACATCGTACAGTTTTTGAACGGTAATCATCAATTTGCTATAACTAATTATTAACTAGTTACAAGTTACAACTATAGTCTAAAACTTGTAACAACACTTGTATTCATTACCTACTTTATTTAAACAATTTTTTACCAATAATTTCAACAAAATTTTTATCATCAATACATTAACAATTATGTAATTAAAATTACAAATTTCAAGATTTTGTCATGTTTATGAATTAATATTAAACAATAGTTAAGTGCGTATATCAAAGTACCTAACTAATACTTACTACCTACAATCCGCCCAAATCAACGTAACGATTATTATACATTACACAACATTACACCATCAGTTAATTTCATTTCCGTCATAATCATATTCATATCTCATGACAAAAATATAAAATAACTTCATTTTGGCATACACATAGTATAAAAAATATTAGTTTGATTAGTGATTACTAATTACTATTTACTATAGTCCCCAAAAAAAACAAAACGTAATAACTGTAAGTTAATCAATAGATTAATATACATGGGTTATCTAATTTGTCATGAGTTAACCATACTGTCGTTGGGTGTACAATTATTGCATTATGTTGTGATAGGCGATAGCTGGGCCCCCACGTTATCACATGAAAACGCTTTATCAGTCTTTCATATGGTTTTTAGAGTAAACTAGTCCATTACTCTTCAGTTAAGTCCAATTTATTCTGTTTTCCGACGACAGCGACGCCGTTATAAAAATGAAATTTTTTCAGGCCGCTTCCAGATGGTCAAAAAAACCACAAATTTGTAAGTATGCTGAGTTTAATGATCTACTGGAATGTTTCACTGCAATGTCTCTAGTTCTTTCGGTTTTCATTAAATCCCTGTTGTCACTTACTGTTATTGTTAATCTTATACTGTTTGTATGATCTGTTGACAGATTGTACACTAATAATACATAGCTTACTAATTTTTTTTTCCGTTAAAAAAAAATTGGAAATGGTAGGAATAGTTTTGCACAATACTGCCATTCGGTCCCGTAGCGTTTATTCACTAACAATTATTTACAATATCAACATCAATATTAGTTATACATACCGGGGGCCTCTAACTACTCTGAAAAACTGGCCTTCAGTCCACAAAAAAAGAAAGAAACGGATTTACCCTATCTGTCCACCTCTTGCCTGATTGATGCGCTCTGCTGCCCCCTTAAGTCCAAGTATCGTCTCCACCATCCTGGTAAACACTATCTTCTGCTTATCCGTCGACACTTCAATCCACCTTCTCAACATGTCATCTGGGAAAAGCTCCTACTCCAGCCTCAGAATGATATCTGGAACATCCTCAGGTCTTAGTCGTCAACCGATGC